ATGAGGGTATGAGGTATGCATGCAACTCTCCTCTCATCAGCTCTGAGGAAATTCTGAGGGCGCTCATTCCTGATATGGTGTTCATTTTGGTTTATAAGCAGAGGTCTCCTCTCTTGATTCAAGATGACAGTGAGACAAAAAATATCTGGTAGAAGTGAGCACAAATATATTGAATACCAGATACCATGCATTGCCTGATAATCCAGGTAAAAATAGTATAGGATTTTACATTCTCCCTGCAACAAGATTCTGGCTGGATTCTTTATAGCCAGATCCCATCAAAACACAAGATATACAAACTCACACCTATAGATACCTATAGCAAAGCTTTGGCCTGGGTCATCTTCTTACTAGTATACATGGGAACAAACAAATAAACACCAAAAAACCTAAACAACAAGGAAAAACCATAAGCATTTATGGTGAATGGAGAATATAAGCAGAGTGTATAGAGATGTTTGCTAAAGTGAGCAGATCTGGTATAAGTAGTCAGACATTCTTTGTGACAACTAGAAACATGAAAAATGACAGATATGGCACAATAAAAACAATTCCAAATTAAGAAAAAAAAAACATTGCAACCCATTTATTATGGAACAACAAAGAAACTTACAAAACTGAAACTGGTGAGCCTGCGAGTGAGTCACATTGGAAGAATTATGCAGTGTGCTGCCTCCCCTCTATTACTTCTTCTGATGAGTTATCATTTTACTTAAAAAAGAACAGGACTATTTTAAATGCATAAAATCCTTTGTTATACACAAAATGGAAACTGGAATTACGTCCAGAATGTGGCAGTGATAGGATGTTGCCTGTTTGACAAATTGATTGACAACATGCACAATTTTTATTTTGGGTGCTATGGAGACTGAAACTGAAAACTTGCTGTCTGCTACATAATTTCTCTGTCACCTGAGTCATTCCTCATCTGCTTTTATTTTTCAGGCAGGGTAGCATGCTATTGGTCTGGCAAAGAACTTTCAACTTCTGACTTTGTGTTCATCATAATATGGAAAAATGAGTTTGGATTTTTTTTTTACAAATATTCACTGAATCTTAAAATCAAGGATTACTTTGATTTGGGAAGGGGTACAAGATGTCCCCTTCCTCAATGACCACTAGCCAGATACCACTCTGAACCCCAAAGATTATAAATCGATTTAAGTTGAAATCCATATAGAACTGAGACCGCTGTAACTATCATTTGTATTGCATTATACAGCCCAGGGATGTTTACAAACACCATTAGGATTTCAAGGTTTTCTCTGGAAAGCCCTTGAGAATTTATTTGGCCATTAAGATGTTATTCAGAGAAACATCAGGTTCGGAAACAAGTTCCTAAAAACACCAGAAGTAAGGCAAGTAAGGCTGAATAGCAGTTGAAAATACATTTAATGGTCACATAGGTCACATAGATCTCAACCCCTCTCAGATCTGACGCTTTTCTCTTCCCAAGGACCAGAATATAAGCACAGTACCACTGAGGCAGAGTGGCCTTGGTTTTGGTCCTGTCTTCAACTTGATTCCAAATTACAATAAGTGAAAGTCATTAGCATTAAATAGATACCCCTCAATTCCCAAATTGCCAAATTTAGCAGTCTCATGGAAGTAATTAAAAATTAGCTTTCATTGTCATCCAGAAGGCCTATCTTCTATCCCAACCACTTCAGGAATTTCACCCAGATATCTGTGCCTCCCACCCTCACACCTAGATCAATTGAGAAACAAAGTGATATTTAAAATGTGTCACAATGTTTTAAATCTTTAAAACATCTATCTTTCTTCATCCCTGAAGTGCCCCAGTCCTGACCAGCTGGGTGTAAGAAGTATAGGTGAGCCTCTCCATTCTCTTGATAGTAGCAGAAAATTAGACACATGTAGCAAGAAAGAGATACATGAGGACTAGGATGGTTGAAAGTAAGTAATTTGTCCTGAATTTGATGTGGAATGATCAGAGGGCAATGGATATATGAATGTGCTGTAGTTCTTGGATAATATGAAACTGTAAGTTCAAGTAAAACTTGTACCTGGTGACATGGCAAATCACAAAATCAGAAGAAATGTTGAACTTTTCTGGTAGCAACATGCTTTGGCTTCAGCCCTCTAGCAATCTAACCAGAGGACATGCTTACTAAACCTTGATATAGTTGTTTTCCTTTGCTTTGAAAATTTTCCTATGTAGCAAAAATTTCCTTTATGTAGTAAAGTCAATAAGGAAGAGTTAGACTCAGGCTTTATACCTGCTCTTGGAAAGAATCACACTACTTTGTGGATATGTGTGTTTTAGAAGAGCCTGAAGTATGATTTGCTTGAACATCTAACAGCTTATATATTTCTTGGTATGTGAATGAGATGGTAAATACATAGAGATATTAAAGAAATTTTAAAAATTCCACAAATTCTATTCTTTCTATATCTTCACTTCTCTGCATGTTCTAAATATAAAGCACGAAATTATTACTTTACTCTTCTCCCTTTCAAGTGTCATGACACAAAGATTGAAACACTCAAGAGAAATGGTCATCATCCCTGAATGCACCAAGAGATCTATTAAAAGGAAAGTAGAGTCATCACAGCTTTTGATGAATGGGTGAAAAACATTATCTTTGCTAAACTATGTGTGCACCATGGAAATATGAGAATTTCCTGAGTTGAGGTGGTCCTATAGCTGTTCCCAGCTTTACCCAGCTTTCTTGATTTGCATATGCTCAGAGCACAGCCTACTGCCCCAATGACTTCATAATAGGCTGCTCACACTCTGTGCAGCAGTCAGTCCCAGTCAGCACACAGCATGGACATGAGGAACCCTGCTCAGCTCCTGGGGCTCCTGCTGCTCTGGCTCCCAGGTAAGGAAGGGCAGCACTCCTCCCATCCTGTGTGTTCAGTGCTGCCTGGGTCTTTAGGGAAGGCCTCCTATAACATGAATAACTCTGTGGATATTTGTGTTTATATTTCCAATGGCAGGTTTCAAATGTGACATCCAGATGACCCAGTCTCCATCCTTCCTGTCTGCATCTCCAGGAGACAGAGTCTCCATCACTTGCCGGGCTAGTCAGGGCATTAGCAATGTTTTAAACTGGTATAAGCAGAAACCAGGGAATGCTCCAAAGCTTCTGATCTATAATGCAAAGAATTTAGCCTCTGGAATTCCATCAAGGTTCAGTGGGACTCAATCTGGGAAAGAGTTCACTCTCACCATCAACAGCCTGCAGCCTGCGGATTTTGCCACTTATTACTGTCTACAGCATATTAGTTTACCTCCCACAGTGATACAAGCCATAACATAAACCTCCCAGGGAAGCAGAAGTGAGAGGCTGGGCTGTCCAGCTGCTGATCCTTGGTGCCTCCATCTGCTGATAGAGCTTCTCAGATGTAGCACGACTATGGACACTTTTAAAGGTTTTCATTGAAATGTGAAGGCTCCTGTGAATCTTTGTCCCTTTCCTCCTCCTCTGTCCCAGATGCACAGACATGGCCATGTCTATTCTCATATAAAGTCATCCTTTCTGCTTCACACAGTAAAAGAGAAGCCAGACAAGAATCTCTAAGAAGGAATTGTTTTAATACAGGAAATGAGTCTAATCATTAGATTGTTAACTCCTAGGTCATCAGAGAATTTGGAAGGAGGAGTGTGGCATTCTCTGGTTCTGTGAGGCTGTCCTAGGGTTTTGTGCACAAGGTGATTCTCCACCTTGTGGAAAAAGCCAGGGTGAGTAGCTGATGCTCTCACCTGACCCAACTGCCTCTCCCAGGGAATTCTCCAGGCCTCACTTCTGATCACATGTCAGCCTGCTTATGTCAAGAATTAACAAGTCTCTCCAGTTCACCAAATATCATCAAAGGATGACCTAAGGATGAACTCTTCAGGAAACAAAGGAAGGAACAGGGAGTTGAGCCTCCACAAACAATCATAATGTTCATAATGATGTATTGAGATAACTGACTGTCAACAATGGTCACTTTTCCCCCAACTGTCAGAAATATTCCACCTAAGTGATAGCATTAAACTCACTTAAATTTGATTGTAAGTTGTTTCTACCAATCTAGGATTATGAACTTTTTAAAAAAGTAACAAAATCCATTAATTCTTATGCAAAAAACTATCAGAAGCTGGGAATTGTATGAAACATCACAAGTTGTTTCATGATCTTACATGGCAACAAACAACTGAAATAATTTCTTGATAAAGCAAATCAGATGCAAAACAATATTTCAACACACAAAAAGGAAAATACACTATTGGGTTAAGATTTCTTTTCCTTCTATGTGGTAGAGACTCAAACCTGTAATCCAAGCTACTCAGGAAGCTGAGATCTGAGGATTGAGGTTCAAAGTCAGCCCGTGCTGGAAAGTCCTTGAGGCTCTTGTCTCTAATAACTCACTGGAAACCGGAAGTGGCTGAGTGGCTTGAGTGGTAAAGTGTTAGCCTTGAGCTGAAGAGCTGAGGGACAGTGCCCAGGCCCAGAGTCCAAGCCCCACAACCAAAAAATTAGAAAGAAGAGGAAAGGAAAGGATAGCAGAGGAAAGGAAAGGAAATGAAAGCAGAGGAGAGGAAAGGAAAGGTGAAAAGGAAAGGAGAGAAAGTAAGAAAAGTTTGAATGCATAAGTACTTCATAATGAAAACAGAGTGATTATTTTTTCCAGGAAGGAAGATTGAGACTGAATAAAAGATCTAAGTAGAAACAAGATGTTTCAATACACTTATGAAATATTCTATTACCTCTATTGTTTCTGTTCATTATATATTTTAAAACAAGTCATAAATGTGCCTTCTACCCATCAAATCATTTCCACAAACCCTGCAGCAAAATTCATGTTCCCCTTTTCTAGTCTAGGAAACCTGTGGATGCAAGGCCTGTGGTGATTCACTGAGTTGAGCCAATCCTGCAGATGTGCCCAGCTCTGCCCAGCCCCAGCTGATTTGCATGTGCCCATAGCACAGCCCACTGCCCTGAGCACTTCATAGGCTGCTCACACTCTGTGCAGTAGTCAGTCCCAGTCAGCACCCAGCATGGACACGAAGGTCACTGCTCAGCTTTGGGGCTCCTGCTGCTCTTGCTCCAAGGTAAGGAAGAACAATGCTGGGGATTTACTCAGCCTAGTACAGTAGGGGTTCTCTGAAACTGTAAGGAAGGCCTCTTGTGACATGATTATCAAGGAGGGTATTTGTTTTCTGATTCCACTACCAGGTGCCAGATGTGACATGCAAATGAGGAGTCTCTATCCTCTCTGTATACATCGCTGGGAGATAGAGTTTCCATGGCTTACAGGGCCAGAGAGGGTATTAGCTTTTCTTTGGACTATTTTCAGCAGAAATCAGGGAAAGCTCCTAAGCTCCTCATGTATGGTGCAAAGTAATTAACATCCTGGTCCCTTCCTGTTTCAGAGACAGTGTTTCTGGGGCAGAGTTTATTCTCACCATAAGCAGCCTGCAACCTGAAGATTTCTCCACTTATTACTGTCAACAGCATAGTAGCTACCCACTCACAGTGATACAAGCCATAACATGAAGCTCCCAGGGAAGTAGAGGTGAGAGGCTAGGCTGTCCCACCAGCCCTTCCTGGTGCCTCCACCTGATGACACAGCTTCTCTGATACATCCAGAATCTAAAGGTCACTTGAAGATTTTAGTAGAATCATTTTGACAGAATTCCCTGTACTCTACCTCTCCGTCTGCAGCAGTATACACTTGTCAATGCCTCTTCTGGTTCAATAGAGCACACAAATCATAACAAGGGAAGAAACATTGAGAGTGTTATTTGGGGTTCTTTTGTAAAATTGAGACATGTTAGTTAATTCAAGCAAGTAGTGTTTCTTTTTAATAGAAAATTTTATTAGCTTATAGCCATTCCAAAACTGGCTTATGTTATTGAAGTTAAATACAGAACTGGAGTATTCTCTGGTGTCCCTCAGACCCAGGTCATCTACTTGTGAAACTGGAGGCTTTCTTACCTAGGTCCTTTCCCTGTCTAGAAACCTAGGGGTGAGTATCAATGCTCTCAACTGCTTGTAGATTGATCTTGACAGGTGATCCTCCATTCCTCCCTTCTGCCCTAGCATAAACCTGCAGGTTTCAGTAATTCTAATGCAGTCTCTTCTAACTATCCATGTTCAGTAGAATTCATCATGCAAAAGCTCTACAGGAAATACTGGTGGCTTCCACAAGTAAACGCTTAGAAGAATCTGCACAGCACAGCAAAACAATAATTACACCAATGTATCCCCACCCCATCCTTTTGTTAGAAATCACCAGGTTATACACTGGTGGACCCAGTTCCTTAGTCCTTTTCTTTTTGATTTGTTTTCATTTTGGTTCTAGTCCTTGGGCTGGAACTCAAGAAAAGACCCTGCTTCTTCCTTAAGCTTTCTTGTGTTCAAAGCTAGCATTCTATTACTTGATCCACAGCACCACTTCTGATTTTTTATGTGCGCAATTGGATATAATTGTCTTATAGACTCTCCTATACAGGCTGGCTTCCAACATCAGTCCCCAGATCTTACCGCATGAATATCTAGGATTAAAGAAATGAGCCACTAGTACTTGGCTCCTGACATTTTTATTGTTATTATTAAGGAGATGCACAGAGGGCTTACAATTCCATGAGCCAGAAGATGTGTATTTCTTGTTTGAGATGTCAACTTGACTATTTTTCTGTTTGTACCTACTGCATGTACATGGACTTAAACACGATGCTCTAAGACAAAAATGAAAATAAAGTTGGAAAACATAAAGGCACATTTCTAAGCTTATTACTTTCTGGGCTATCCTGAGTGTCTTAAATTGCCATGGAAATTCTAGATTTACATTTTCTACTTTAAATATTCTTTTAGGGAATTTTAATTTTGCATGATTTAATTCTATATTTCAACCTAGAGAAAATTTAAAATGATGTTGTTTTCTGTCTTCTTTAATCCAAAAGAGATATTTTTCTATTCACTGTGTTTGCATAGACTCTACTAAGTTATTATCATATCCTTGGATTTATTTTAATCATTCTTAATATATTTGTACAAATTTCATCAACAAATAAGATACCTGGCTGCTTCCCTTCAAATTTAATATCTTCTTTTACCTCTTGCTTTATAGAATTTGGAGGGACCATCCTGTATAAGTTTGTATGTGAGGATATGATAGTAAATATTTCAACATTTAAATCAATCTGATAGGGAAAATGTTAAAATATCTCACCACTTATTATGATACTTATCATCGATTTTTTACATATGTTTCAAACCATTCATTATTTATGTCTTCCTTAGACACTAATAGCTTTTGCATATTATGAATAGATGTTGCCTTTTAGAAGTATTTTAATATACTCATATTATCTTGTTTCTAAGCATATTAGGATTGTGAATCTTACAGATAAACCTACTGTATTAAAATCAATAGAAGTGGAGCTGATGCTCCAATGGTAGAGTACAAGCTGAGTGACAGCACCCAGTCCCGTAGTTCAAGACCCACTTCCAACAACAGCAGTAAAAAATACAATCATGGAGCTAGACGCAGGTGGCTCAGGTCTGTAATCCAAGCTACTCAAGAGGCTGAGATTTGAGGATCACAGTTCAAAGCCAGTCCAGGCAGGAAAGTCCAGGAGACTCTTATCTGCAATTAACCAGAGTATACAGTAAGTGGTAGAGTGCTTGCCTTAAGCTGAAGAGCTGAAGAGCTGAAGAGCATAGGGGTAGTGCCCAGACCAAGGCTTCGAGCCCCACAACTAACAAAAATAATACAATCATGTAATTTTAAACGAACTTTCCAATTTAACTTCCTCAAAATATTGTCCTTGAGAGAAGGAGGAGGTAGATAGTGGGAAGGAGGATTAGGAGTAAGAGGTAGAGGAGAGCAGGATGAAATTCTCCCTTTCCTAAGACAAATTTTGACAATGTGCAGAGGAGACCATAGGCTGAAAAATTTGAGTATGTATGATCAAAGGTGAGAGGAAGTTCTTGTAAAGTAAGCTGAAGATTGGAAGACATGTGAAACATTGCAAAAACAGGACTGTAACAAACCATTGTTATAGGTGAAGTGGCATGAATTTCACACAGATATACTGTGAAGCTGGTCAAATTGGTAATACTGGGGTTTGAACCTGAAGGTCTTTGATCCATTTGGAGTGGATTCTGGTTCAGGGTGATATATAAAGATTTAAATTCAGTTTTCATGTTTCTACACATGTATAGCCAGTTCTGACAGCACCATTTGTTGAAGAGACTGTCATTCTTACATTCTTTGTTTTTGATTACCTTACCAACGATTAGGTGGCCATGGATCTGTGTGCTCCTTTCTGAGTCTTCAATTCTATTCCATTGTTCTACAAGCCTGTTCATGTGCCAGTACCAAGCTGTTTTTTTTTTTTAAGTACAGCTTTATAATAGAGTTTAAATTTTGTTATTCCTTCAGCAGTGTTCTTCCTGCTAAGAATTGCTTTAGCTATTCAGGTTTTCTATTATTCCACAAGAATTTTCATTGCTTCTTCTTGTTCATTAAAAATGTTGTTGGGATTTTGATGGGTATTGCATTGAATTTTAGACAGATCTTGGAAGTATTGTCATGTTCACATGTTAATCCTCTGAATCCTTTATTATGAAGAGAGTGGAAAGAACAGACCGCCTTGTCATAATCTTTAGAGGAAATAGTTTTAACTGTTCACCATTTAGAATAATGCTGACTGTAGGTTTGCTAATATAGCCATTATTATATTGAGGAATATTCCATGGCTTCCTAGTTTCTCCAAAGCTTCCTCCATAAAGGTCCATCCACCTCCCCCAACTCCTCCCAACTACCCCCTGAGCAAACTTGTAAAGTTCATTTTCAACATAGTGTCCATGAGTACCATTGCTGCATTTGTTCACCTTTTGTGCCTACATTTCTGTGACTCTCCTTACCCTCCAAAGATATATGAACTAACAAACAAGACAAGAAAACAAAACAGTAATAAAGAAAATTTGTCTTATTTCCATGTTTTTGAGTTCCTTTTTATAAATGTTATTTTGTATGGTCAGAAATAAGATACAGGATGACCAATTGTAATAACAAGAGGTACAATACACTATGTGGAAAATGAACTTTACAAGTTTGCTCAGGGGATGGTTGGGAGGAGTTGGGGAGGTGGAGAGGGAAAGGGATGGTAGGGGAAAAAATAAGGGGTAACAATGCTGGATAGGAAATGAGCTTGTTACAATGCTGGATAGGAAATGAGGCCATTACCTTGCTCATGTAACTGTAATCCCTCTGTACAATATCTTTACAATAAAAAAAAAACATGTTTCAAGTAAAAATAAGTACACAGGCATTGTCTCTTTCTGTTCCTCTTTTAAGAACATCCTCCTTTAGTCTCACTTCGTGTACATGCCTAGAGACCTATATTTTAGATATAGACTCCTCACATGAAAGAAAACATGCACTACTTCTCTCTCTGAGCTTGGCATACCACACAACAGGATTTGTCCTAGGTCCATCCATTTCCAGGCAAATGACATAATTTTATTTTTTCTAATGATTATGTACAATTCCTTTGTGAATAGGTAACACATTTCAACTGTTCATCTATTGTAGGGCAACTCAGCTTTTTCCACAACTTGGGTATTTTGAATAGTGTGGCAATGAACATGGATGTGCAAGTGTCTATATGGTAGCCTGGCTTGTGATGTTCAGGGCATGTGCAGAGTGGTTTGGCTGGGTTTCAAGGAAGATCTATGTTTCATTTTGTGAGGAACCTCCAGCCTGTTCCAGAGTGGTTGTGTCGGTTTACATTCGCACCAACAGTGCAATAAGATACCTTTTCCTTCACATCCCTGCCAACATTTATTATTTAAATTCACAATGTTGGCCAATCTTACTGGAGTGAGATGGAATCTAGGAGCTGCTTTTCTTTTTCATATCCTCTATGGAGAGGTATGAAGAGCATTTCCTTATGTATTCCTTTGCCATTCTTATCTCATCTTCTAAGTTATCTATTAGCTCTTTGCCCATTAGCTAACTGATTTACTAGTTTTGGGAGGGAGTAGCTACTTAAGTTCTTTGTATAGTTTGGATATTAGACTTTGTCTGATGTATTGCTGG